ACACACACAAACACAGCTCTTGCAATCAGTAACCCCGGAGCAACTTTCTCCAGAGCCCCATGGAAGACGGAGCCGACTCCACAGCCTTTGATGACGGGGCATTCTTCGACGACGGGGCATTCTTCGATGACGGCGCATGCGCGGACGACGCGGCGATGGGAACTGCGGGGGAGGACGACGATGCCGCGGGCGGGAAGCAGGCCATCGCGATTTGCTCGTCGACCTGCGCAGAGACAAGGAAACCGTTCGCAACGACGACCAGCGTCACGTTCGCGTTGATCTGCTTCACCTCCGCCACCGTCGCCGAGAACTGCTCTTGCTCAGCATCGCCGCTGAGGATGACTCTGCTTGCCGTCGACGCAGGCTCCACGAAGATCGGCATGCCGTTGATGGTCGGCAGTTTGCCGTCGACTGCAACCGACGACAGATCCGCTGCCGTCTTCACCGGACGCGACAAGGGTCCCACCTCCATGAATCGCAGAATCTGGACCATATGGTCCTTAACGTGCTCGGGCCGGGTGATGCACGCCAGACCATCAGGTCCGAGACCCTCTTGGAGGGAAGCATCCGTCTGCGCGATGAAGACGAACGGCACCGATCCGTTGGACCGATCTCGGAGAGCGTCAACTTCCTGCGTGTCGACGAGGGCCTTAACCACGACCTTGAATCGTTGATCGCTCTGGAGAGTGTCAAAGAGATCTGCCGCGCAAGTGGTAGCGAACACAGACGCTACAAAGACCGCCATCACCAGAAAAGCGCTGCGCGCCGCCGCCATTGCGATGGCTAAGAGTCAGCGATGTTCCCCGATTCGCAGGAATCTTAAAGAGAGACGAAAGAGGAAAGCCCTTCCCGCTGCGAGCTATGGCGCTCTCGGCAGCAAAGGGACAAGTGGCTATGGCGGGATAGAACGAAGAGCCGACAACAGGAAAGACGCTCCCCTGCGAACTGATGCCCGCTCTCAATCGCTCCATTCCCTGACGACTGTTCGGAGATACTTGGTTTTGTACCCGTCCACTTCCTTCTTCTTTTTTTTTTTTTTTGAAAGGCTAGTTCTTTAAGCCCAACCAACTCAATTACCTGTCGAATCTGGACAGGACGGACTTTCAGGCCTTTTTTTTTGTTGTCATTATAGTATTACAGGGAACCCTGTAGCAGCCACATCCGTGCTCAAGCCTTCAACGAGGGAAAATGCAGGAGCTGCACCTACCAGCAGGTGAGATACCCGCTACAGCAGGTGGGGGATACAGGCCAGGGGTCAGCCGGTAGCATCAGTTCCTACAGTAGCTTCTTCTATGGGCCAGTCACTGTGCCTCCCCTCAGGTGGTGGTCCCCTCCCCCTATGAACATCAGCAGTCTCTGCTCAATGCCACTCGGGGGGACCAACGGCATATCTCTAGGTGGCGGGCGCCAAGCTTGCCCAGGAAGGTACATGAGGCCAATGGGGATTGAACCCAAGACCTCTGAATGCCACTTGCGTGCCTTACGACTGAAGGCCGCTGGTTGGTGATGATATCTCAAGGCTGCTACCCTTTGAAAAGAGTAAAAAAGGTAAAAAAGAAAGTTAGGCCACTGAGTCCTTCGGGACATCCGTTAAAATTGGAACGATACAGAGAAGTGTAAATTAGCAAATGGCCCCTGCGCCAGGATGACACGCAAAAATTGAGAAAAAATGGTCCAAAAAAAAAAAAAAGAAAAAAAAAAAGAAGAAAAACAAAGTTAGGCCACTGAGGCACGGTGTCCTCGACATAGTCTGGTTGTCTGCGTATGAGAATCGCTAAATAGGGACATCATAGTTTGGATTGCACTTTCCAGTTTCAACACCACAGTCCCCATCCGGAAGATTGTCCGTTGGATGCTGAATGGTTGCTGCTGCCAGCCAGCATATTGATTCTGATAATGATCCTCTCAAGAACCTTGTTACATTTGGTTGATCTCACTGTGAATATCTTCTGAGTGTTGTGCTGCTTGCAAATGCCTGCGTTTGCTTACCTTTCCCCCCCCTTCTCCCTACTTCCTGAGTCCCTCCTGCACAAGATGTTGTCTCTGCAGACCCCCCCTTCCTTCCCTTGTATTCATTGCTGCTGGTTTGGTTTCTTAAGAAGAAGGTGATAGATAGCCTCTGACTTTATTCTGGTCATTTGATGCCATCAGGATTGAAACTGACGCTGTTTCTAACAGTTAGTTTATGTGTGCCATTTACCATATGGACTCTGCTTCTTCTTCCTTTTTTTTTTTGCGTCCTGTAACCTGTTTCTTTATTTTGATTAAACCACTAGTACCTTTGCCGAGTGGGGAAATAGCGGGCCTCGGGTGGGTCTCCGACCTTTTAGGAGGCGGAAATGAAACGAGGGCCGCCGATCAGATTTATCAATGGCCGCTGTCGCCGGGCCCGGCCTCCAATTTTTTAGGAGTTTGGGAGAACTGCCAGTTTCCCCTATTTTCCCAACACTGGCGGAGGTACACTGGCGGAGGTACTAGTGGTTTAAAGATTTGGGAATCAGGCCCAGCGTCCCTTACGTCGTTAAAACTCGCCCACCCCTCTCCCCATTATGGCCGGGAGCACGTGAGACAAAGACATTGACTAATTCCTCTCTGGAAGGATGTATGTACCAATGATCTGCTCCTGCTTGCTTCCCAAGCTGTCTGCTATTGCTACCCACCCCTGCTACTCTGGTCCATGATGCTTCCCAAGCTGTCTGCTATTGCTACCTACCCCTGCTACTCTGGTCCATGATTGCTACCTCTTGGGAGTATCAAAATGGATCAATTGACAGGTTCATAAAAAATCCTCTTAAACCACCAGTACATGACCCCAGGCCCCCAGCCAAGTTGAAATTCATGGTTGAGTAACTTGAGTGGAACTTGAGCCTCTCCGAAGGTTTTGGGGCTCCAGGAAGGCCCGGGTATGCGACGGGGGAGTAGCTTTTGGGCCCATTGAAAAAGTGCAAATGGACTGTATGTTGTCCTCCTGGTTCATCCTCGCATGTGGAAACACACACGCGGATGAGACAAGAGGCAAAAGCCACGAGGGAAAAAAAAAAAGCTTAAAAAAACAAACCATAGCCAGCCATATGGCGGGCAGGGAAAGCTAGATAAAGCTGGCGCCCGTTCAAACAGGTGCCTGCCTTGTTTCTGGAGACAGAAGGTCTCCAGAAAGAAAAACGAGGAAGGTGCCTGTTTCCATGGGCGCGAGCTCTTTCCCTTGGAGTTCGGTCTGTAGCGGTTCTTTTGTTTGTTTCAGTGCGCATCTGCACCCGTTCTGAGGATACGTACGGGCACTTTCTTTCTTTCTTTCTTTCTTTCTTTCTTTCTTTCTTTCTTTTTTCCCACGGATGCAGTCTTAGAGAAGGGACACAAAAGAAAACAAATGTACTTACTGTTCCCCTGGAAGTCGCAGCTGGGGCAGAAAAAGACCGTCTGCATCTGGCGCTGGAACAGTGCGAGATACAGGCATGAATCTGAAGAGAATTTCGCTGTGGCGGATATGGCTAGCTCTTCTCATTGTATCTGGAGTCGAACTTTGGTCTCCGTCTCAACAGTTCATGAGTGTACCAACCGAGCAAGGCACGTTGGTTCAGTACAGGTTCCATCATTACGGTATTAGCAAAATGAAAGAAAGGGAAAAAAAACTACAGCAACTACCTCTGGTGGCGTACTCACATCATCGGCACTTACTTGAATGTACCGGCCTGCAATCACAGCCAGATGGAGAAGAATAAGTGACAGTGCGATGTCTTTTTGTTTGCCCTTCTTTTTTATCTTGTCCTTCCTGTATTTTGTGAGTAGATCATCGAGACTTTGGAGTTCGCCTGTATCTGGTGCTCAGGCTGGCTTTGTGGAGAGTGACACACGCCCTCCGTAATCTGCTGGCCGCAGGTCCAGCAGCACTGTTTCACCGGGGCGGGTATCGGCACCACACTTAGCTTCCACGCTCAGACATTAAGAGCCTCGGATGTTTCATCTGGTGGTCTAATAACGCCCTTCACGGGGCAGATACTCTTGTTATTTGTTTCCCCCGTGGACTTCCTGCTACTCCCGCCAGCAGCCTGCTGCGGGAGTTAGGTCAGGCCCTAGGCCTGTCCCTTGCTGAAGTCTTTATCCTGACTCCAGGCTGACAGTTGCTTGATTTGATTGGCTCCGAGCCCTCCCGGAGACAGGCTAGGACGGGCATTCCCCGAGAGGCTTTGTCGTGAGTTGGCATTCAGGACTGCACCTGTGTCCCCGCTCTTACTCCGTCCCTATTCTCCATCTGAGCTTAATTGCATACCCTACCAAACTCCCAGCTTTGCCTTCGCCCAGGGTGTCCTTCGAGAATTTGGCCCTGATCTCCTGCTGTTTGTCCGGGTACAGACTCTGCCTCATTGTGTTCATTTGATCCCATCAGGGATCATCAGACTCATGTTCTGTCGACTAACAGTTTCATGTGTCTACCTCATTCAGCAACATGGGCTTTTCTTCATCACTGCTTCTACACTCCCGGCGACCCTTCCTTTTCCCCTTTTCTCCCTCTTTGCCTTCTGCACAAGATGTTGGATGTGAAACCCACTTCATAGTCCCTTGCCTTTCTTGCTGCTGCTTTCACACCCCTCTGCTGCTCCCTACCTCTTGTTCTTTTCTCTCGCCTGCCTCACTCTGGAGTTCTGATGGAGGTCCACAAGGTGGTCTGTGCACACGCCCCCCCTGGGTTCTCTTCCCTGATGAATGAGCCTTTTGCTGAAACAGTGGTTTTTGCAGTCGAGAACCAAGCCAGGAAGGAGTTTATAAGAAAGGGAAGGATGTGCGGCTGTATTAGGATCTGTTGGTTGCAGGTCTTTTTGTAATGGACCATCTTTTTTGCTCATGCTCTTGGTTGAGAGCTAAGCGATCAAATTGGTAAAAAATGGTTAAAAAAATGGACATTAAATTTGATTAAATGGTAAAAAAATGGTCAGTAAATGGTGATAAATTGATATTTCGCTTGTGTGACACTAATGAGGGTATTACTGTTTGTGTTTTTGCAGAGTGCCGCCAGCAGGCACGCCACGTCGCGTAAAGAAGGTTGAGAAAATACGCCTGCCTGAGGATCCACTGGTCACCTCTTTCTATGCTCGTCACCCTGAGGCACGCTTCACTCCATACAAGTAAGTTGTGGGCTCTCTACATTGATGATGATGTGTACCAGTTTGAGCCCAAACTGGCGAACAATGCCTACATCACGGCATTGTTGTTAGTTGGATGGTGAATTGTTTTTTTTTTGTTTCCTTCTTTTGTAATGAACCCAAATTTAGAAGCTCGCAATCGAGCTGAATGTGTGGGTAGAACGGGGGGTTGAATGGCCGTTCTATCCTATTCTGCTCCCCTACCCCCCGTTCTGTTCTGGGTAGACCGGGGTCTTCCCAGGCGTTTTGGTACAACTTGCCGGACGCGTGGGGATGCGGACACCTGCGCGCTTAAATCTCCCTTCCCCCCCCCAAAAAAAAAATTGTGCCCCCCCCTCACCCTACAACCTGTCTCTTATACACATCTAGATGTGTATAAGAGACAGATTCAACCCAGATATCTCCAACAACCCCGAACATTCCCCTGAAGGCCCATAAATCCTCCCCTCGTGGGGCCCCAGCCCCACCTGCCACACTCCCAAACCAGGGCCCCCAATCCCACCAATGTCAGCCCCACCCCCCTTTGCACCCTCCCCTTACAACCCACACAACCCAAAATTGAACTCACCGTTACACCCTTCACCAACCCACACAACCCAAAATTGAACTCACCCTTACACCCTCCCCACCCTCTCAGTCGACTGAACGGGTCACTTCATTAAACCACCACTACCTCCGAGCCTGTTTTTGCCGAGCCTGATGTTCACTGCACGCCAAGTTTTGCCAAGCCTGATTCCCGTTGTGTTCTTTTTGTGGTACTCTTGCGAAAAAAAGAAAAAATACTCAGCGTCGCATGCGGAGAACAAAAAGAGGGCGTTACAGCGGCGCTGTGTAATCCATCAAATGGAGGGTAGTCTGGGCGCCTACGTCCGACGCCTACCGTAGGCTGTAGGCGTGTCTACCGGTCTGGCCGACCCATTGCGGTCTGCCTACCGGTCGGCACACTGCCTCACACTTTTTCTTCTCTTCTGAGTACATGGCTGTTCTGCGCTTGACCAGAACAGGCCAAATCCGCAATAATTTTTTTTGTTTTGGGGGGTGCAGGGGCTGTCTCTTATACACATCTAGATGTGTATAAGAGACAGGATCTGGAGGGGGCGATGAGGAGGATATGCGATCAAGAGGAGGTGGTCGGGATCCCAACCAATCAGGGTGAGGATGGAGGAACCGACCGATGAAGTGGAGGGGAAAGAAGGCAGAGGCGAGAGGGTAAGGAATGCAGGTTGGGGGGGGAGGGGGCGAAGGGGGAGGAGATGGGGATCCGGATAAGGTGGGGAAGAAGAGATTGAAAAGGCGCGAAGAGGATCTCGAAGCGGAGGGAAGGGAGCAGGTAAGGAAAGGAGAGAGAGCAGGATAATGACGAAGCGGCTCAATCACGAGAGGGATAGGGTAAATGTGGATATGCAAATGATGGAGCGAGAGAGAGGAATGAAGTGAGAAAGAGCGACAGACAGAGGAAGAGAGGAAGGGACATACCGGATCGGCAGGGGCCGCATCGAGTATGGGAGAGAGGAGCTGGAAGAGGATATCCCAACGGCGGAGGAAAAGGCGTGGACAAAGAGGGGAAAAGAGAGGCGACAAACACAGGACAAGGAGAGAAGAGAATGGGGAAAAGTGGATTGGTGGGTGAAGATGGTGAAGGGGGATCGAGGGCGCAGTTTTAAAGATGAAATTGGCCAGGCGGAAGGGAGGCGATGGAGAAGGGAGAAAGGGAAA